CTGACCTTAAGGTTCGCAGCCCGATTCGTAACCACTACGCTACCAGAGTAGGTGGTTAATATTGACTCACTTACAAAAGTCCTACAAAGACAAACCAATGGCTCTTTCCCCTATGTCTTTGGTGGTCCACGGGAGCCCAAGGCTATATCCAAAGGAGATGTGTTTGAAGGTCAGAAGGAGTAAATTCCATATAATGTGTAACGCTTTTGCACATAAAACTGATATTGAACCATGTAATCAATTTGAAGACTGGCTTTGCCATGTTTGCTGACTCATCACAGACTTGCCATCCATAGGCCACAGTTCCCTCACTTATAAAAGGAGGGTATTATTCTAGATGATCATGAACATCTTTTCCAGTTCTAAATTTCTATGATTATATATCCTTAAGGACCAGATGGACTCTTGGTGTGGCACTGTAAGATCAGCACTGGACTGCAAACCACAAGGTTGGCAGTTCAAACCTACCAGCTGCTCCTGGGAAACCCAATACAGGGCGGTTATGAGTCAGAAACAACCCGATGGCAGTTAACAACAACAACAGTGACTAGATAGTGAAATGAATGGTACGAGCAGAAATCAATGAGAAATCTGGGGTGTTTTCTCAATGTCATGAAATATGTGGGCAGGTATACCACACTGTCTAGGATTCCCAGTTCCTCTTCCTTCTTGGCGGCATTTATTCTCATGTGCTCGGGTATCTTGTAGTCTGCAGCTGTCTTCAGATTAAAGTCCCCCATATGCATCTGGGCCTCTTTGATGGCCTGGACATCTTTGGGATCTTCATAGTCCTCATCCGGTTTACTCTTTAATCTAACAGAAAAATAAGCAAAACCCTCAATAATAAGAACTTAAGTCATACAAATGGTTTTCTATGAATAAGAATGATGGTTTTTCAAAATTTCAAATTTTAAAACTAGACAACACATTTCAAAATAAACTATGGGCCAAAGAAGAAATCACAAACAATATTAGAAAATCAGTATTATCAATTGTTATATGATCATGAAAACATACCATATCAAAATGTGTGGAATGCAGCTAACCCAATACTTAGAAGGAAATTTATTATTTAAATGTTTACATTATAAAAGAATAAAGATATAAAATCAGTGATCTAAATTTACACTGTTGGCAGAAATATGAAGCTTTCTGCTCCAGTACTGTTTTATAGCCTTGGAAATTCTATACATGGTCATTGTGAGTTGGAACCAACTCAACAGAACTTACAACAAGAAGATGTTTATATCCTGAACAATAATAAAGAGAGAAGTTAATGAACTCAAAATAACTAGAAGGAAGAGAATTATAAAAAACAGAAAGTAATGATATAGAAAGCAGGCAACCATCACTAAAAATATATGTGACTAAAAGCTACTGCTTTGAAAAGATCGCTAACATTGATAAAGTCAGATATAAATTCATAAGTATTATGAATGAAACATGAGACATCATGAAAGATCCTACATAAAACAAAAGAATAATAAAGAGCAAAGTAAGAATACCTTTATGTTAATAAACCTGACAATCTACATGAATTGTAAAATTTCCTAAAAGACACAATTTATCAAAATAGGACTTTAACTAGCAAACATTTGAATCTTTATTTCAATACAAGCCCTCGAAGAATACTCCAGGCCCAGGTAGCATTGTTGATAAATTCTATCAAATATTTAAGAAAAAAGTAGTATCAGTCCTAGACAAACTCTTTAAAAAGTAGAAAAGAAAGGAACGCTTCTTTGCTCCTTTTATGAAACTAATATGACCTGGTTTTGTTTGTTAAGTGTTGTCAAGTTGGTTTTGACTCATAGCGACCCTGTAAATGGTTTCCAAGGAGCAGCTGATGGGTTTGAACTGCTAACCTTGCAGTTTAGCAGTCCAGTGGTTATCCTACAAGGTCCCCACCAGGACCTTGTTACCCTGGTAACAACCAGAAAGGACAATATATAAAATAAAACTAACAATCAATATCCTTTTAGAATAATATATAAAAATACTGATAAAATACTAGCAAATCAAATTCAGCAATAATTTTAAAGTTTAATAATATACCATCACCAAGTCAAATTTACTCTAGGAATGCTAGTTTAATATTTGAGATCATTCACTATGATTCAAAATATTAAAGAGTAAAAGAAATACATATGATCATCTCAATATACATTTTTTAAAAAGCATTTGAGAAACTTCAACATCTATCTTTGACTAAAAATACAAAAATTTAAAAGTTTCAACGAAGCAGGAATGGAAGGGAGTTTCCTCCATCTGATAGTGTGCTTGTAAAAGGCTTGTGTCATAGTTAGTGGTGGAAGATTGAACGGTCAACTCTCTAAAATTGGGACTAAGCTCATAATTTGGGGAAAAACAACAACAACAACGAAGAAGTAAAAGCAATCAGCCTACCTAATTTCAAATAAAAAACAGTCATGGGGCAGTTGGACTCCGTCCTACAGGGTTACTATGAATCAGCATTGATTGGACAGCAAGGAATTTAGTTAGGTTCTTTTACTTTTCTTAGAAAACACAACTAATGGGAAACAAGATAAGCAGCAGAATGGCAACAATAATGAAAATGTTATAAGTTAATTACTAATAAAATTTTCAGTCAAGTTATTTGAAACATAAAAAAAAAAAAAATAGTCATAAAACTGAGACTGAGAGTTTGCCCTGAAGCTACAGTGTGTTGCTGACTCAGTAATGGGAAACATAGCAGATGGAACAAACTACAGAGCTCAGAGACACTGTCTGGATGAGAACAGTATCATTGCAGATTACTAAAGAAATGACAGATTTTTTCATACAAATACAGGGAAAACTAGGTACCACACAGGAAAATAAAACTACCCTATGCTACACCTATTATCAGTTTGGAAAAACACAAACCTCAATTCCAAGAGGTTGAAATCCCTAGGTAGTATCAACAGTTTGTTTTCAACAATTACCTGAAAAGTGCTATCTCAAATCCACTTACCACCACCTCACAAGAAAGGCCTGACCATCTACATTCATAAGTTTACACCCATGGAAGACCCTAACTGAGCACAATTCTACTCTGAAACACTTGGCATCTCCATGTGTTAGAATCAACTTGGCAGGAATGGGTTTGATTGGGTTTTGTTTTGTTTTTAGTGACCTAAAGGTGTATGCATAGTGATCCTGTATAGGGTTTCCAAGGAGTGGTTGGTGGGTTTGAACAGCCAACATCATGGTTAGCAGTCAGTCAAATGCTCATCCTACAGCTCTACACCAAGACTCAAAAAAATATGAGAACATAAAGAAGAATATATTCATGATGTTGGCATAAAAAAGTAATTTCTTGATCTTTAAAAATCAGCACTCTGAATGTATTAGCAAAATGAAACCCCTGGATCTGAAACTGTAAAAACTGCAATTAGAAACATGGAAATGCCACCAAGGTATCATCACTCAGAAAGACCCCGCGGACCTGTATTTTATCTCCATCTCTATTTCTTTCACTTTTTAATTTTAAATATTAACAATGACAATAAATATAAAGAACTTAAGCAATATATTTTAAGAATCACAAGTTAAAAAGATAAGAATTTAAGTAAAAATACTCACAGTTCCTCCCATTCTTTTTTCCTCTGTTGAATCTTAAATTGGGCCTTTTCAGCTTTTAATATAACCTTCCTCGTTTTCTCAATTTGATTTTCCACCATAATTTCACTCAAGGTTTTAGGTCGAAATTTCTTCCCTTTTTCTACAATTGACTCGTCTGGTAAACTAGTCATCATACCTGTCCAGAACATCAACAGATTTTTTCTATATTTTTGAAGCATAAAAATAAAAATCTCAAATAATGTAATGATTGTTTGTAACCTATCACATTAAAAAAAAAAAAAAAAAAAAACTCCAGAGAACATAATGAATCTAAAATTAGAGTATTTATTGAGCAACTATTATGAATTCAATCCCAAAATAAATACTGTTAAAGATGCCCACATAAATGAGTGTAAGGCTCAATAGGACCATATAAAAACTTGTCAAAATAAGACATATATGTATAGGAAGACTACAACGACAAGAAGGGGGTGAGCCACTGAGAACTGAAATGTGGGACTATGGGTGTGGTGTAAAGGAATTCAGTAGCCATGGATGTATTCATGAAAGAACTTCCAAAGAGTTTTGTGGCTGCTGTTGCAAAGACCAAACAGGGTGTGGCAGAAGCTGCTGGAAAGACAAAAGAGGGTGTTGTCTATGTAGGTTCCAAAACCAAGGAAGGAGTGGTTCATGGTGTGACAACAGTGGCCAAGTAGACCAAAGAACAGGTAATAAATATTGGAGGAGCAGTGGTAACAGGTGTGATCGCAGTAACACGGAAAACAGTGGAAGGAACAGGAAACATCACCGCTGCCACTGGCTTTAGCAAAAAGGATCAGATGGGCAAGAGTGAGGAAAGAGTTTCACAGGAAGGAATTCTTGAGGATATGCCTGTGTAAGCTTAGGAAAAACCTTCAGAGGAAGTATATCAAGACCATGAACCCAAAGCCTAAGAAGATCTTTTCTACCAGTTTCCTGAGAGTTGTTTACAGATGATGTTCCATCTTGTACTAGTGCTCAATTCTAATTTGCTCAACTATAACATTTTCTTAAAATTTTTACAGTGTATTTTGAGGTTGTCCATCAGCAGTAATTGAAGTATCTGTTCCTGCCCCCACTTAACATTTCAGTGCCTCCCTCTCACTGAAATCAGTATCTGGGAGCAGGATCTTTATGTGCTGTGGATATTGTGGCTTCAAATTCAAAATGCTAAAACAAATGAAAAACACCTAAGTGAGTACCATGGATTTCTAAGTCTTCACTATTTTTGTTGGTGTTGTTGAGAAGTTGTGAGTGATTTACTCTCTATCTTATAAAATTTTTAGGTGTCTTTTAATGATCTTTTTTGTTCAAGAATAATGATGTTTTGTGAAATTTGTTAATACATAAAGTACTTAAAAACATGTGAGCATGGAACTATGCACCTATACATATTAAGTATGAAATTTTACTGTTTTGTGAAGTGTTTTATTAACTTGTGTTTGTATATAAATGGTGAAAATTCAAATAAAAAATAATCTCATTACAAAAAAAAAAAAAAGACATATGTGTATATATTAACAACTACAGAATAATATAAACAGTGCTAGTCACCTAGCAGATACAGGGTTTCCGAGGCTTTACATTTTCATGGGTTTGAATAACTCATCTTTCTCGCATGGAGTGGCTGGTGGGCTCAAACCTAGGATCTTGCCGCTCACTATAGAACCACTGTACTCCCAAATTAACAAGTATATTCTGGTGGAATTACTTTTTTCATGTTCTAGCTATCATGGGGAAATTACTTTTTTCATATTCCAACTATCATGAGAAACATGAGGATATACTTTACCTGTATGTATATACACACATATAGGTGTACCTCATTTATCAACTGTAACTCCTCACTTAGTAACTCACATTTGCAATAATAGCAAAAAGTCTATGTTGCACTTTAACAACGTAGGTTTGGCAGCAATGAGCACCAAGGTGCTGGGCAAACATAACACTGACTATGGTGGCTAAGGTTATGTGTCAGCTTGACTGAGCCATGATTCTCTGTGGTTTGGCATTTATGGAATGATGTAGTCATCCTCTGTTATGTGATTTGATGTGGTCAATCTCTATTTTTGCCGAATACTGATTTCTTTTCTTAACCTAACCTTTGGAACCTAACCATAACAATAGTTGTGGAGTGGGTATACTTATACGGGATATATATCCACTGCTAGGTCAGGATTCAAACCCACCAGCTGCTCCTCAGAAACCCTATACAGGGTCATGATGGGTCGGAAGTCACTCAACGACAATAACAGCAACACTGAGTTCATTGTGACGCACAGTCATCCTGTTGGATAGAGTAGAACTGTTCTTTCGGATTTCCTATTGTAACCCTTTGCAGGAGCAGATAGCCTCATTGCTATTCCATGGAGTGACTCTTGGGTTTGAATCACCAATCTTGTGGTTAGCAGCCCAACTGCACCAGCAGGACTGTCTTTGTGTCAAGTGCCACTGAGTTGGTGCTGATTCATAGTGACCCCTTATAGGGTTTCTGAGGAGCAGCTGGTGGGTATGAACCCCTGGCCTTGGGGTTAGCAGTAGAGTGCTTTCTAGTGCTTATCCTAGAGACCTATATCTATATAAACATATATTTAAAGGCATATTGTTGCTGTTAAGGGCCATCAAGTTGATTCCAACTCATAGCGACCCTGTATAGGGTTTCCAAGGAGCAGCTGGTGAGCTTGAACTGCTGACCTTGCAGTTCAAATGGCTTTGTAGTCTGGCACATTAAACCACAGCACCACATAGATATATGTATATATAGATACATACACATACACTGCATTAGGCAAATCTGCTGCACAGGACCTCTTTAAAGTGTTCAAGAGCAAAGATGTCAGTTTGAAGACTAAGATGCACCCAAACCATGCTGTTTTCAATAACCTCATATGCATGTGAAAGTTGGACAGTGAATAAGGAAATAAGGAAAACTATAGAAGAATTGATGCTTTCGAGTTATGGTGTTGGAGGAGAATATTAAAAGTACCATGGGCCGTCAAAAGAACAAACAAATCTGTGTTGGAAGAAGTACATCCAGAATGCTCATTAGAAGCCAGGATGGTTAGACTTCATTTCTCATACTTTGGACATAATATCAGGAGGACCCCACCCCTGGAAAAGGACATCATGTTGGTAAGGTGGAGGGTCATAGAAAAAGTGGAAGGCCCCTAATGAACTGGATTGGCACAGTGGCAACAGCAATGGGCTCAAGCATAGCGATGATTGTGAGGTTGGCACAAGACTGGGCAGTGTTTAATTCTGTTGTGCACAGGGTCATGATGAGTCGGTACAGACTCGACAGCACCTAATATATTTATGATATGAAAAGTTAAATATTGATATGGGATAGTTGTATTTCAGATATATAATAATATGGAAAAGGAAGAATTTAATGCAGTCTAGGTGGTTATGGAATGCTTCATAATAAAGCTGTGACTTGATCTGGGTCCCTAAGAACCAAAAACATTCAGAGAGGTAAGGAGTGAAATGGTCATTCCAGCAGGACCCTGGATGTGGAACTACTAGGCATAATTAAGAACCAGTAAGGAGAACAGGAAGGAGCTCTGGTAGCGTAGTGGTTACAAATTGGGCTGCAAACCTCAAGGTCAGCAGTTCAAAACTACCAGCTGTTCCATGGGAGAAAGATGAAGCTTTCTCCTCCCATAAAGACTTACAGGATCACTGAGTCGGAACCAACTCCACAGCACATAACAACAACAACAAGGAGAATAGGAGTCCTCCTGTGACACTGTGAGTTAATGCTCTGGACTGCAAAGCCATTTTGAACCACAAGGCTGGTGGTGCAAGCTCACCAGCTGCTCCCCAGAAACCATATACAGGGTCGCTGTGGGTCAGAACTGACCTGACAGCACTTAACAAGGAGGACAAGGGGTCTAGGTATGGCAATGTAGGCTCAGCACTGGACTGCTAACCACAAGGTTGGCAGTTCAAACCCACCAGTAGCTCCTTGGAAACCCTATATGGGGTTGCTGTAAATCGGAACCAACTCGACAACACTTAACGACAACTACAACAAGAAGACAAGAGCCTAAACATTCATGTTAAATTGTACGAAGAGACACTACTGTAAATGTAGACTAGGATAGATTATCAAGGTTTTAATACTGTGGTATTGGTTTCAAAATTTATCCTTCACTGAAGGTTTTTACATGAAGAGGATACACCTGCTATTACTATCTGTACTGTATTATGGGCACTAGCCTTATAGGGTCAACACACTGGCTACAGTGCCCTGTATTAATTTTTGGCTGGTCCCTCAAATCATTCTCAGAATTCTTGTCTTCTTCCTGCTTGTCTGCAGTTATCCAGTGACCAGCCACAAAAAGCAGGTCCAGGGATTAGGAGAACTGTTTTCACACCTGTATACTCAGCTCCTATTTTCACACCTGTAGTCACACCTTTATAAGGCGGCTTAGTAATGTAGTGGGTTATGCGCTGGGCTGCTAGCCAAGATCAGCAGTTTAAATCCACCAGTCACTCTTCAGGAGAAAGATTATGCTGTCTGCTCCCATAAAGATTTGCAGACTTGGAAATCATATAAAGAGTCATTATGACTCAGAACTGACTCGAAGTAACACAACAACGATTCTCAGTGGCACAGTGATTGAAGACCCAACTGCTAACTCAGGGGGTCAATGTGGCTGTCTGCTTCCATTAAAGACTTACAAACATGGAAACCCTACGCAGCAGTTGTACACAGACACAGAGGGTTGTGACAAGTCAGAACTGACTCAAAGGTAGAGGATTCGGTTAGGTTTGGGTTATTCAGAGCTCATTCATGCTGTTTGAAGTATATGTTCTTGAAAAATAGTTTGAAATGTAATGTTCTAGCCCCTCACTCTGGGATGAGACCCAGGAATCTGGGAAGAGACACTGCCTAGAAGCTAGCATATGGGGACATTTCAGACAAATGTATGAAAATGGGAAGTAAGAAAACAGTAGCATCTGGTATTCTTCTTAGTCATCTAACCAGAGTGGGTTTCTTTAGTAGTTGTATCACTACTGATACCACATTCTTCTTCATATAATCCAATTTCTCAGATTATTTGCTCAACATACAGATTGAATGGGCTGTGTGTGCTGTGGTGTCGTGGAGTATGTTCCAACTCACAGTGACCCTTCACAGGGTTTCCGAGGCTATAAATCTTTACGGGAGCAGAAAG